AATTTCGATCAAATTTTATGATTTTGCGCCTTGTTTAGACAAAATCTCACAAAATAAATGAGTTTCTTGTTCAAAAACAAGTTAAACCCCTCAAAATAGCGTCAATTTTCAAATAATTGGGTCATTTTAAAAGAGTTTTTTACTCAAAAATGGGGTAAATTACTCAAAACTGACCAAAAATAATACCACTTTCGATAAAATTTGGTGATTTTTCGTTTCTTTTGGGTTAGCTTTCTCAAAATAAATGGGTTTCTYATTTAAAAAAAACAACAAAATCCATCAAAGGAGGTTAAAATAGCACAATTTTAAAAGAATTTAGTTATTTTTTTGACTTATTTTGACGAAATTATAAGAATATGTGAGTTTCTCACTCAAAAACGACAAAAATAAGTTAATTCCCATGTTTGAACACAATTTCACGAAAGAGTAGTTTCTCGCTTAAAAACAAGCTAAATCCTTCAAAATAGCATCAATTTTAACAATTTTTCGAATTACTTTAAAAAAATTACGTGAAATAAGAGAGTTTTTGTTTACTCAAAAACGGAGTAAATTTCTCAAAACAGACCGAAATGACTTCAATTTCGATAAAATTTGGTAATTTTTCGTCTTGTTTGGTCGAAATTTCACAAAATAAATGCGTTTCCCACTCAAGAAAAAATAAATGCCTCGAAATAGGCCAAAATAACGCCAATTTTGAAAAAACCACCCACTTATCAAAGAATTGTGCGAGTGTACAAATAATTAATTATGTAATAATTTCTTGACTGTTTCTTTGTTTAAGTTTTTATTTATTGCTTTGTTACAGAATTTTTCAATAAAGTGTGTTTCAGTTGTATTTTTTGACGTTAATTGTAATTGTATGTTGGAATAATGGAAACAGGTTGTAGTGAGTGACACGCACTAGTAATTTACTTCCTGCATAAAATGTGCGTTTCTTCAGTTTTAGAGGAAACGTTATTTTTATTTTAATTACTTTTTTCCAATTAAAAAATTAAATGAAACAAATAAATAAGCAAAAAGAAAAATAAAGGTATTCTTTTTTTGTCTTATTATTTATTATTTTTCATTCCCGTAACCGTTATAAAAATTTAGACAATTTATACAACCAACAATTTATTGAAATTATATCACTTTCATAAAAGACTGGAAATTCAAATATTTTTAATGAGTCTCTTTTTAAACCCCAAAAATATGGTCTTAATTTAAAATGATTTTTTTGCAACGATCGTGAAAATATTTTCTATTTCTAGATAACCAACAATGCAAACATTTTCAATTTGTGCTGCATATATTATACATACCAGGTGAATGAATAAAAAGTATGCAACCAAACGTTTTTTGCTTAATTATTTTTTTTTAAATAATTGATGAATAAAAAATAAAATTTTTCAAAATTTTGTACCAAAAATTTAATTTTTTTAAATGACAACCCACAATAAAACTGTTTTTCTCATAAAGGTTATGATCTAAGAATTACGACTATCTACTTTGTATTTAGTTTTTACAAAAAAAAAAAAATCGTAACTGCAAATTTTGACAAAAAAATCGCATAACTCTTAATCACATTTTTTACATTACTTTAATTTATATTAATTATTACTTTCTAGAGGTAAATGATTCACAAGTTTTTTTATTTTGTAAATTGGGGCAAAATTTTATTTTTGATTTTGTCAGCAATTTTCTCCATAACTATTTATTTATTTGTATGTGATAGAAAAAAAATCTCGACAAAAATTCAAAAAAATCTTGCAAAATAAAAAATAAAAACAAAACAAAAACGATATTTTTAAAATAACTTGGCGTTTTCTTGTTTTATTTTAGGGAAATTTTTTGAAGTGATTAATTTTGTGACTGGAATTCGTGCAAAATGCTTGAAAAAAGGAAAAACAATGTGTTTCAAAGCTTGAAAAATTTTAAATAACAATATTTCGACCAAATTTTGTGTCTTTTTGGTAATTTTTAGGCGTGTATTAAGAAAATATTGCAAAATAAATGAGTCTCTGCTTCCAAAAAGAACTAAATCGAACGAAACAAACTAAAATAATACAAATTTCGACATAATTTGGACATTTTTCAGACAATTTTAGTGAAATTTGTCTCAAAAACGTGTTTAAACACTCGAAAAAGGCAAAAATAATCGTAATTTTCTGAATTTTTGGCTTGTTTTTATCGAAATAATTGTGTTCCTAACTAAAAAGTGTGCCCGAGAAAGGTAAAAATTCTGTATTTTTTTACCCATTTTTTTTACTCTGTTCAGTGAAATATTGTAAAAAAGAAGACAAATAGGGGCATTTTTAAATTAATTTAGTGTTTTTTCGACTTRTTTTTGAAAAAATCTGTCAAAATAATTGAGTTTCTAGCTTAAAAACGTGCCAAAATGCTTGAAAACGACAATTTTCAAAAATTTCAGATTTTAGTTCAATTCAAAAATTTTCACTCACTTTTATTTTGTTAATACAGGCTAAATTATATTAAAAACAGTTTATGTTTTGTACTATGCCTATGTAAAATGTTCCGGGGAGTCGATTGGTGTCAAGAAAACCGCAAAATTCTTGATAGTTTAGAAGTTATTGTCAAATTAATATTTTTCCCAAAATTTTGTCAAAAATCAAAAAAAAAAATTAAAAACTACAAAATTCCCAAAAACTCAGAAAAGTGCATAAAACGTTATAGGAACACAAAAAATTAATTTCTGAAATATTTTGTATATAGTTAACTATACATGAGTTGAGCAGAAAAACATGCTGGGAGCGAGATGGCGTAGTGACACAAGATCACTACTTCCGACAGGTGGGTAAAATAACCTCAAAACAGACCAAAAATCACTTTTAAATAAGTCGAAAATGCCTTTCTCGAGTCAATAAAAAAAATTTTTTCAGACATTATTTTTGTAGCTTCAGCTCTCCCAACATTTTAAAACTGAAAGTGCGATATTATTTCATGATGGTCTCATCAACAAGTTTTCTTTTTAACAAAAACATAAGCACCGTTCTATTGACACTTGATAGTGAAAGAAACTACTCATTCTAATTTATTCACCGTCTGTTTGCTACTTTATTATAGACACTGAAACGATTTTAATTTCAGATATTAATCTAGTAATAAGAAAAGTGTATTTTATTGCAATTTCCGGAATCTTTGATTGACACAATTTGTAATTTAAACATACAGGGTGTCCGAAAAAAACGTTGAAATATTTCGAAGGGTAGTTCCTTGGGCGAAAATAAGAAAAAAATTCCTATAAATCCATGTCAAAAATGCTTCCTGTATACCAGGTGAATAAAAAGTATGGAACCAAACGTTTTTCGCTTAAACTATTTATTTTTTGGAAAAACTAGTTGATGAATGATAAAGTGCTATAAAAATGTAATGTTTTATCAAGAATAAAATTTTTCGAAATTTTCTTTTGTTTTTGAGTTCTAAAAAAAAATTTTTTTTTTCAAATGGCAACCCACTATAAAACCATTTTCCCGTAAAAGTTATGATCCAAGGATTACAACTATCTACTTTATAGTTAATTTTTTCAAAAATTGCAATTTTGACAAAAAAAATCGCATAATTCAAAAACAAAATAAAATTTCGTACTCAAAATACTATCACATTTTTTATATTACTTTTTTATATTAAGCAAAAAACATCATTTTCAATTAATTTGCTGGTTTTTTAACTTGTTTTGACAAAAATGAAGTGAAATAAACAAAAAGTCCAAAATAAAATCAATTTCGATCCAATTTTGTTATTTTTTGGCTTATTTTAGCTGAAACTTAGCTCAAAAATTTGC